ACCTATAGACCTCTAAACACACACACACACACACACACACACACACACACACACACACACACGATCTCATCTTTAGGCACTTTGCTCCTGGCCTGGTCTTCTCTCAGTTCTTTGGTGAGGATATCAAGTAAAAATTAAGAGTGCTGGTCATGGTGGCTTGTGGTATCCCCCATTCCAGATGGACACTTTTCAAAAGTGTCTATTAACAACCCTCCATTCCCTGATCTCCTTCCACACAAGAAGGCTGAAAAATGGATGAAACATATCACCTCTAAAGGACTTCTGACCCAGGCTGTATGTATACATCTAAGCAGGCACCTGGTTGCCCTCCCTTCCTCCTACCATATCCGAGTCTTGGGTTATCAAACACAGAAGGGCTCACAGTTGCCTGATATAGTCAAATTGATTCTTAAAATAGTTCCCAAATTGGCCCAAGTCTCACAATATATGCTCTTAGATCACATAAAGAAATGCTCACCTTTGGATGCTGCCTTCATGTAATCATGAAGCGGAACTCTAGTTTTTAGTGGGATAGAAGGCTAATAATCTTTCAAAGAATAAAGGTAAGGTCTACAAAGCAATAAGATTAACTGCCTAAGATTAAGAACAGTGTGTTAGAGTTTTTAGTTTAGTTTGTTTTGTCTGGTATTTTGTGTGTTTGTGAATGTGTATGAGAGTTATGTTCTGGTTTTCAAGTCAGAATGGCCCAAGTCTACACAGTCCTCTTGGGAGATGAAAGAGCTGCTAGCAACACCTAATATCCCAGAGTCTTAATTAATGCTAGAGATCCTCTCTACAGAAAGATGTACATGAGCAAAGGCAACACATGCTATGTTTTTGAGGGGGTTCGCTGACACCATGCCCAGGTTAAGAACCCCATGCTATGGCATCTCAGATCTTTGGTGACTCAGGACAAGTGTCATGGTGGCTTATGTCTTGTTGGGCCAACCCTGTAACAGCACTGACACCTGTTTACAATCCTGCTTCTTCCTCGAGCCAACAACAGTTACCTGTGAACAATTCAGTTACCTGTGTACAACCCAGTTACCTGTGTAAATCCCAACACAGAAAGGTAAAGCAGCCAGCTGGGATATGGACCAAGCTTCAGTATTAATATGAACAGTATGGAGGTTCCTTAAAAAACTACAAATAGAACTACCATACGACCCAGCAATCCCATTACTGGGCATATATCCTGAGAAAACCATAATTCAAAAAGAGTCATGGACCACAATGTTCATTGCTGCACTATTTACAATAGCCAGGACATGGTAGCAACCTAAGTGTCCATCGACTGATGAATGGATAAAGAAGATGTGCTGCATATATACAATGGAATATTACTCAGCCATAAAAAGAAACGAAATTGAGTTATTTGTAGTGAGATGGATGGACCTAGAGTCTGTCATACAGAGTGAAGTGAGTCAGAAAGAGAATAACAAGTACCGTATGCTAACACATATATATGGAATCTATAAAAAAGGTTCTGAAGAACCTAGGGGAAGGACAGGAATAAAGACACAGATGTAGAGAATGGACTTGAGGACACGGGGAGGAGGGGGAAGCTGGGACGAAGTGAGAGAGTGGCATGGACATATATACACTACCAAATGTGAAATAGATAGCTAGTGGGAAGCAGCCGCATAGCACAGGGAGATCAGCTCGGTGCTCTGTGACCACCTAGAGGGGTGGGATAGGGAGGATGGGAGGGAGGCTCAAGAGGGAGGAGATATGGGGATATATGTATATGCATAGCTGATTTACTTTGTTATACAGCAGAAATTAACACACCACTGTAAAGCAATTATACTCCAATAAAGATGTTAAAAAAAAAAATTACTCCTTCCCATCTGCAAGGAAGAAGCACTTCTCACACCTCATTCTCTCCCCATCCTTTTCTCTCTTTTCCCTCTGCTAAATATTTAACGAGCACCTTTTTAAGCCCTTTCACAGGGCTATATCTAGAAATACCAACGTGAATAAAATATGGCTCCTCTCATTTTTCGAAACAAACTCATTAAATATTCACAGAACCCAATGTATTTTAGCTCTTACAATCTACTTCCCAGCGGGGGAAACAGACACACTCAGGCCCACAAGCCACACACATGTACACATTTACAATGCAACATAAAAGAAGGCTGTAGTGGAGAGATACGTAAGCAACTATGGGGGCAGAGGAGGGAGCAAATAACTGTAGGCCTGGATGGGTAATGAAGACTGGTCAGAGAAGGTGAAGTGTTTCCCATGTTCAAAAACAAACAGGCAGACAACAAAGGGACATGTGCAAAGGCATTCAGGTGCCAAAGAGCATGGTACCTCTGGGTTCGGTGCCGGTGGATCTCAGAAGCACGTGTAAGATCAGCTGGAGTTAAAGGAAGAAAGACCACGAGAGGCCGAATCCTGGATGTCCAAATCCTGGATGTCCAAATCCTGGATGTCCGAATCCTGGATGTCAATGACCTCAGGGCCACACAAATGGGTTAGAGATAGAACATGGAGCCTCTGGAAGGCTCTAAGCAGAGGAACGAAATGAGGGCGTTTGGTTTTAGAAAGCTAATTCTGATGGGCAGAGTTAAAAAAAAAAAAAAAATAGATGGATTAGAGGAGGACCAAATGCAAAACAGAGAGATGAGTTGGAAGTGAGGCTCCTGAGGTCCTGGTGAGGGATAAAAGGGGGGTCTCAGTTCTAGTCGGGGCAGTAGGGAA